ATCAGTCAATTATCAGAGTGCCCTGCTCTCCTGCACTGCCGAAACTAGGACTTGGCAAGCAGGTTATAGACTGTTAAATTATGTCGAATACTGCATAGATCTTGTTTGTTTAATGCTGCACTCAGCAATATTCCAGCTTTATGACGAATGCCTGTAAATAATCGAGTCTAGACTAGACAGTGTATTGATTGACATGATGCACATCGATCCACGCCATTGGGATACGGTGACATGCATCAAGCAGGTCAGCGAGCCTGATCATCCGATCCATTTGGTCGCCTCTTACGACAAGCAGGGCTTGCTGGGGACCTATATACTTACCTTGGATCCCCACTACATAAAAAACTACCCTGTAGCTATAGGGTATCCCAGGTACTTGCTATGGATTTTAGTTTTATAAACCACCATTAATACTATTACAATAGTTGCCTTCATAATCACCCTACTATGTTTTACTAAAATCGTCTTTGATAAGATAAAACATCGGTGCGAGGTGGAGTTTTGTACGGATTTTTACAATAAAATGTATTATGTTTTATGATCTGCTGATTAACTACCGTTTTACACGTACTAATGACCAAATAAAGTAACATTCTCGTAAAATGGGGAGTTTCGTCTATAGAGTAAGATTCTCGTTAAAGAAGAAGTGTCGACCGTAGAGTGTAAGAATATTGAAGATAAATAGTAAGATTCTTGTTAAAGTGGTAGTGTCTACTAGAGATTGTAAGATTCTTGTTAAAGGGGTAGTGTTGACCACAGAACGTAAGATTCTTGTTAAATGGTAGTGTGGTGGTGTCGACCAAATTATGAAAGATTCTTGTTAACGGCGTAGTGTCGACCATATAATGAAATATTTTTGTTAAAGGCGTAGTGTCGACCATATGTTGAAAGATTCTTGTTAACTGGTCGTGTAGTGGTGTCGACCAAATAATGAAATATTTTTGTTAAAGGCGTAGTGTGGGACCATATAATGAAATATTTTTGTTAAAGGCGTAGTGTCGACCATATGTTGAAAGATTCTTGTTAACGGCGTAGCGTCGACCATATAATGAAATATTCTTGTTAAAGGCGTAGTGTCGACCATATAATGAAAGATTCTTGTTAACTGGTCGTGTAGTGGTGTCGACCATATAATGAAAGATTCTTGTTAAAGGCGTAGTGTCGACCATATAATGAAAAATTCTTGTTAACTGGTCGTGTAATGGTGTCGACCATATAATGAAAGATTCTTGTTAAAGGCGTAGTGTCGACCATATAATGAAAGATTCTTGTTAACTGGTCATGTAGTGGTGTCGACCATATAATGAAGAGATTCTTGTTAAAGGCGTAGTGTCGACCATATAATGAAAGATTCTTGTTAAAGGCGTAGTGTCGACCATATGTTGAAAGATTCTTGTTAAAGGCGTAGTGTCGACCATATAATGAAAGATTCTTGTTAAAGGCGTAGTGTCGACCATATAATGAAAGATTCTTGTTAAAGGCGTAGTGTCGACTATCTAATGAAAGATTCTTGTTGAAAGGGTAGTGTCGACCATGGAACATAAGATTCTTGTTTAGGGGTAGTGTCTACCATATAATCAAATATTCTTCTTAAAGGGTTAGTGCCGCACATACAATATGATTTTCAGTATAATACGCCGAGACAGTCGCTGACAGAGACCCTGATACAGACACTTTAAGCACATTACATCAAGTCATGTGTTTGCCGGCACTCTTCGCTGGATACCGTTTATAAACCAAACATAAACAAATCGTTCCGCAGTTAATCCTCTGAGTTCTGAGAGCCTCCCTTTAACATAAGTGTTATAGAATGATTCATTGTTTGCACACCAAAGCTTGCGTTAGTACCATGTTGCCACACAAACTCAAACCGGAAATAGAATGTCGGGAACTTTACGTCAGTGCCTTATAAACACTACAGTTATCGCCCTTTGTCGTTTCTTTGAAGTATTGTGTGGGTACAATATTTGGAGCGGGAGGGGAATTCAGTCTTTAAACACAAGAGAGTGCTAATTACACTGCCGTGAGAGGGCGAGGTTTTGTCTCGTGGCTAATGTTTGTTTTGTTAATACGACGACGTCATGAATCAAACATGGCGGACATTCAGTTGACAGGGTTGAGTAATGACCCATGTCCCCTTCACAGGCTATTTCACCTTTACGATCATTGTGAAATAAATCATCGATCAACTACATGTAGGGATGCGTATGTCGTGATGGTTTGACTTTCAGTAGACCTTCAATAGATGTACCTCACGATACGGTATGTATCAATAAATGTCTCTTACGATACGGTATGTATCAATGCATGTACCTTACGATACTGTATGTATCAATGCATGTACCTTACGATACTGTATGTATCAATGCATGTACCTTACGATACGTTATGTATCAATAGATGTACCTCACGATACGGTATGTATCAATAAATGTCTCTTACGATACGGTATGTATCAATGCATGTACCTTACGATACTGTATGTATCAATGCATGTACCTTACGATACGGTATGTACCATACGATATGTATCAGTATATGTATCTCACGATGGGTATGTTTCAATACATGTACCAAACGATACGGTATGTATCAATACATGTATCTTACGAAACGGTATGTTTCAATGCATGTACCTTACGATGGTGAAGTCAGGGCCTCCATATTTCCCGAGGTATCTAATATGATCCGTTCTCTCACATAGGGGCACTGCACTTTATTTTCTCATTGCCCAATTTCACTTTTTTAATTACCTTTTCAACAAACTTGAACAAACTTGAACAAACGCAAAAGTAGTAAAATCGTAAATATCTGACAGAGTGTTGCCGACGTCCCTTCAAAATTAACACCAAAAATGAATTGGTCATTTCTGCATGGATTGGGGTTGATTTGTTTGGAAAGAATAAGGTACTGCAGAAATGTTGTGAAAAGATGGGACAAATCTCAAAAACACAACCATCGGAGAGCCTGGCGCCGAAACACACCAACATGACCGACACGTGCACCATCACTTGTTGGGCTATAAAAAACGTTGGGTTTTCATTTGCATGCCATCACAATCTTACAGCAAGTGAACAGCGAAAACATGCCACGACTGACGGAAGCCCAACACAACAACGTCATCGGCCGACTGCAAACGGGAGAATAACCTTCAGCCGTAGCCAGGTTTTTCCACGTAGCACCAAACACCATTAAAAGACACACTGGAAAACACGTGACCTTCCCTGATCCTGTCGACCACGTATCACTACTAGAGCACAGGACAGATTCATGCTTCTAGGTTACTGACTGTATGTCAAGATGGGTGACTTCAACTTTCCAATAGTCAACTTTTCCTTCATGTCGAGCAATATTCCAGCAGCTCCAGCCTTTGGTGTTAACATTTCACATCTTTTGAGATACAATCGAGCATGCTGTTTCTACCAAGATTTCAAAGAGCGTCATACGACTCTTGCTCAGAAGTTGTTTGATCAAGGTTACAGCATTCAAGGCCTCAGTAAAGCTTTCAAAAAAATTCAAAATTTGACTCATCAGTGACGAACATAATGTCCGATGAAATTTTGACTTTTACCATATGTTCCCGCGTTTTTTAGGTGAATAATTGACTTCCTTTTGCATGTGTTTGTGACGGGTGCCACCGGTGGGGCAGGACGCGCTCACCTTTTCGCGAACACCTGGTATCATCACTATTTGATAGTGACTCATAAACACATGCTAATGATAAAGTCGGAATCGTACAATCGAGTCTGCTTTATGCAGAGATTTCCATTGGAAATGGAAAGTTTTTTTTCACTTTATTTACGTGAAAGAACCACCTTGGTCACATCTACATCTACGCGGAAACCAGGATTGCTTAGGATATCAGTCCAGACAATGAGGGACCGTTGACGCTTAAGGTATTTGCACTAGACGACCAGTTCGAGGTGTCAGTTTCAATGGCTGCAACGTCAATGGTGTCAAGGTCACAGGGTAATGCCACGACTGCGATGGAGACACGTTTGGTTTAGTTACGAGTCACGTTTTTATGCATCGCCTTGCGGATGGTAGACGTCGTGTTTACAGACGTCGCGGGTAACGTTACGCATGAAACTGTATACAGGAAGTGGAAAGATTTGGTGGTGGTAGTGTGATGATGTGGGCGGAAATCTCCTACACTGGTAGATGAAACTGGTTTTGGGGAATTTAACGTAACAAGGATGAGACCCTTCGGCCACACGTCCTTCTCATTATGCAAGAAGCGAACGTCATTTTCCATGAAGACCCGGGTTAGAATAGGTCTTCAGCAACCCATTTTGCCGTAAAAAGCGACTATACTTGCCGTAAGAGGCGACCAACGGGATCGGATGGTCAGGCTCGCCGCGAGTACGTCAGCAACAAGCACAGAACCTCCGACAGTTGACACAAAGACTGCAGGCAGAGTTGGTCAACATTCCCCAGGCCACAACTCGGGATCTGATTGATTCCATGGGACGACGATGCCAGTCAGTGTTGGAGTCTTGTGGTGGCCATACAAGATACTGAGAACAAATGACCTTCATCTTGAAGATCTATTGTTCATTGTGTGATATATGGAACCCAGGTCAATGACAATGATGTGTGCCAATTTTGAACAATCGATTACCATCTGTTGATTTTTTATGTGATAAATAAAATATACATCTAAAATCACTTTTGCGTTTCTATTTTTGCATAGTATGTTATGGATTGGTGAATTGATGGGTGTATAGATGGGCGTATAGATGGTTGTACAGATTATGTATATATGGATGTATAGATGGGCGTATAGATTGGCGTACAGATGGGCGTATATATAGGGGCGTATATATGGGTGTATAGAATGGTGTATAGATGAGTGTATAAATGGGCGTATAGATGGGTGTATAGTTTGGTGGATAGATGGGCGTATATATAAGGGCATATAGATGGGTGTATTAATGGCCATGTATATGGGCGTGTAGATGGGTGTATAGATTGGTATATAGATGAGTGTAAAGATGGGCGTATATATAAGGGCGTATAGATGGGTGTGTATATGGGCGTATAGATGAGCGCATATATGGGCGTATAGGTGGGTGTATAGATTGGCGTATACAAGGATGTATATATGGGCGTGAATATGGGCGTATAGATGGGTGTATAGAATGGTGTATAGATGAGTGTATAAATGGGCGTATAGATGGGTGGATAGATTGGTGGATAGATGGGCGTATATATAAGGGCGTTTATATGGGCGTATAGATGGGTGTATTAATGGGCATGTATATTGGTTTATAGATGAGTGTATAGATGGGCGTATATATAAGGGCGTATAGATGGGTGTATAGATGGGCGTTTATATGAGCGTATAGATGAGTGTATAGATGGGTGTATAGATTGGTGGATAGATGGGCGTATATATAAGGGCGTATAGATGGGTGTATAGACGGGCGTGTATATGGACGTAGAGGTGGGTGTAAAGATGGGCGTATACAAGGATGTATATATGGGCGTATAGATGAGTGCATAGATGGGCGTGTATATGGGTGTATTAATGGACATGTATATGGGTTTATAGATGAGTGTATAGATGGGTGTATAGATGGGCGTGTATATGAGCGTATAGATGAGTGTATAGATAGGCGTGTATATGGGCATATAGTTGGGTGTATAGATGGGCGTATATAAGGACGTATATATGGGCGTATATTATTTTTTCCAGAGTTTCTTCCCTTGTTACATGTTTTTAGATTTTGACCATACACAGTTTTGGCGCTTGATCTATGCTATTTTACTTCGTGCATGATGTCTGCAATGGGGACATGTTTTCTCGGAAACTACTGAAGTTACCTTATCCAAGAGATACTTTTGAAGACTTTTCTAATGACATAAAGCGACCATTGTGCCTATTTCTTCTTAAGTCTTTATAGGACTCTTTCTTATAGTTTATATTCACTACTATATGAACAAACCAAATTTTCTAATGTACCCCATGGGGGGGGGGGGGGGGGGGGGGGGGGGATAATGATAACGCTGTATTAGTGTTTACATTTAAGTTTAGGTTACATTTCTGATTTTATCAGTGACGATTTCGCAATTCGTATAACATCGGTAACTGCATCGGTGTCGTTACTACCCCCGCCACACGCATATGGTCTGGGTTCGATCCACGGTTAGGAGAAGTACATACACCTCCGGATAAATTCTCTCGTGAGTACCCTGGGTTGAAAAGTAATTCATCAATGTGTTAAACCGGTGGACTCAATGTTACTATTGTTACTGTTGTTGATTTGTCCAAATAAAGAGTGTGGCGTTTTCTAATGTAAAAACAAACCGATCTGATACCTTTCAGACGTATTTGTCAAGAACAACAGGCATGCTGCGTCACGTATAGTGTTAGTCTTTCAGTAAGCCATAGAGACATTTCACTCCGATTATCACGTATTTACAGCCAGCAAGACTTAAAAACCCTCCTAAAATATACTTGTATGTCAGTTTCAGTCACAGTAGTTATCTATAGGACCCTCACTGACTGATGCTATCCACCCGACGGCGATTCAATGATAACGCACACACGTATGAATAAGAGTACCTGGAGTCATCCCGGCTTATTAGCTTCTTGTCGTTCTAGAGAATTTATTCAATTGATAGAGAATTTACGATGTCGTCTGCTCAGCTTTGAGACTCCTTACCCTGTCGTCTGCTCGTTCCTCTGTCTTTTAACATAGGGCTGACAACTGATGTTCTCTGCGATTACGATATCATTTATGCCTAGAGAGGCACTCGTAAACTTCAACACAGGTGTAGTGTTTCTGCGAAGTACCAAGTGACACCTACCATTCTTACATCAAGCTATTCCTGCGATTTCGTTTTCGGCTATAACTGTCAACTTTTATAGGTGTTAGAAACGTGCTGTTTCTACGTCGCCCTAGCGTTCTACCCAAGCCCCAAAACAAAAACTATTATATTCCATTTACCACGTGAAAAGGAGCCGACAGAGGTTTATGATCTCGATGACTCAACGGGGAATCTTGCCTTTATTACATCGTCTGTGTTTCAGTCCTTCCTCTCACCACCAACAGTCATTGCAAACTATATTTAGATCTATCGTAACTTAGTATTTCGTTAACATTGTATAGGTATCAGTGCTTTTTGGAATAATGTCTAAAATTTCAAATGACAAAATCTCATTATTGAATTGATACAATTTTATCAAAAATGACCATTTGTACAATTATTTTCGATTAAAAAGTGTTTATCGCAGTTTCCACGGTGACTACATCCTTAGATCGTTTATCTTTGTGTTTTAAATCACAGTTTGTGTGCGTTTTCATCCTTCAGATTTTAATAACCCCTCATCCATATGCCAACACATATTAACAACAATTTATGTACCAAATATTTCAAATCGTTCGGTGCTTTAAACTCTTCTTACAGAATACGACATAGCATATGTTCCTTCACATATCTACGTTGCATCAACGACACGTCTCGGAGCCTTTCATCGTTCGTATTTTCAACTGAGACGTCAATCCAGGTTTTTACACCCCGTCAAATTACCTATACGTTTAGATAGTAAACAACATCTTAGCCACGTTTGTTATTAGGGTAATGTAGGCCCTGGCATGGAGAGATACCGTTGTTTTGGAATGCGCGTTTATGACGACAGAACAACTTCAAAGTATGGCGAAGTCGTCAACTACATCGTGAGCTTCCAGCCCAGTCAGTGTTGGATACAACCTTGTTATTGCTTGTATTGAATGTCAGAACCCCGATTGGAATGTTAACAATCTAATATGACTTAAAGTCTCCCAACGAAGAAACCAGATGACGCTCGTAAAGCAACATACCCCCTATGTATCATTTTAGAAGGACACTCACCTCCCTATGTATTGTATAGCAACCGGGATGTTATACAGTGCAACCTCGTAAATCCGGATTATACCGATCACAGTGAAATTGCCGTAATAAGAAATGTCCGGATTATTTTTTGTGAGGGTATATGTTGTATATAGACCTTTACTCAATACTGTCTGGAATACTGAGTTTCCAGAATATCAAGATCCGTAATAGAGAGGTTTCAGTTGAGTTGATGGTTTATATTAATACCGAAAAAGGACTGTATGAAGTACATCTGGTTAGAGCGCAGAATATCAACTAGTGCAGCATGCAGCACAAATTTCAGTTGATGTTGAATTGAATAATACATATATAATATATAATAATACATATGTAATATATAATATAAAATGCAATTTAATGACAATACTTGCGCTTCATTCAAATAATTGCTTCGTTTATTGAGGGCAAGACAAACAATATAAGGGAAAAAACAACATGGACGAAGTCGTGGACAAAGTGTTTCAGTGAAAGTTTTGTTTAAGGTCAAAGGCACACCACGACGACATATAGTACAAAGTGCACATGTCCTCTAGATACGTTACCAAAACTAACGTGAAGGTGAAGGCTATTTTCAAATGTTATGATTAATATTACCATCAATGTATAGGTTAGAAATCAGAACATACATTGTCGAATGCTATTGAATAAAGTTGTATACTCACTATGGAGCTGAGAATGATTGTTGAGTGCACACTGATCCATTGACTGGGGTAATAGTATCTTGTACATGGAGTACAGCGCCTTATTAATGGACTATTATTATTGTTGTTATTATTATTATTATTATTATTATTATTATTATTATTAACATCCTCCGACGGACACCATGTACTCCAGATACATCGCATAACCTCGACGAGGTGAGCCTCGCATATTCATAGACATATATTTCGAGTTCAGACCAGATTGGTTTTCAGGTAACTGATAACTGATTTCTCTGTCGGCATTGTTGATTGTCGACGCAAGCCTTTATTTCCATTTTAAAGAAGACAAGATATGACAAGATGAACGTTTTCTTCAGGAAACCCTGGAATAAATATATAAGAAATCAATAACTTGAAAATTATGCCATCAACGCAATTCTCACTGAAGTTGGTTATGTATAATTGAGATTATACGTTCCTGCGAAATATTGTTCACCGGTATGCATTTTTCTTACTGTTACAGTAGAACCATATGCACATATATGCTTTAAATGCCGAAAAATCTACCACATTGTGAATACCCAATAAGATTAATTATCTGTAACTTTATTTTCAGATGCGTAATTCGGTAACACTATTTAGAGTGATCTCCCTTGGGGATTTCATGCCACTACACGCGCAATTTCCCATATGTCATCAACGGGGCCATTGCAATGGCACGTGCAGATTGCCGGCAATTTATGGTCTCTTAAATTGGTCCTAACTGGTTCAAAAGAATCGAGAGTAATGGCCCAAACAAGAATAATAAACAAACATTGGCTGTGTGGCCTGCTCGGTAGCATGTAGACTTTAACGAGGTGCGCTTTATCCAGATGTGTTCCAACCGTGTCGGAAGTCGTAACGTCCCTTTCCTGAGTTGCAAAACACGGAGTGACAATCTGGGAATGTATTTAGACAGTAGGAGGTGGAAACTGTACGTCGGAGGGCGCGAAGGTGATTGTGGAGTTTAACAGAACTCATACATTACCGCTGTTACTGCCTTGTTATGACGATCACCCAGGGCACGGAGGAGTTTCACACTACTTCGAGCGGAAAGCGTTTATTTTAGAAAAAACTGCATTTACCGAATCTAAACACAGAGGATTATAAGCTTGTAGCTGGTAGCACTTCCACTTCTTTCAAGCAAGCCGTCAGCAGCCGACATGGCAGGTAGTTTAATACTTATGTGCAGTGCGCATGACAGGGGTGACGTCACAGAACTTTACGCGAACGGAGTACTATGTGCTTTTGGGGAACGGCTTTAAACTCACTCACTTTCTCGCTCACTCACTCACTCACGCACACACTCACTCAATCACTTTCTGGTGCAGCTTGTACAGGGAGGGAAATAAACCATCTTTGTCTCTTCTCGTGGAATCTTGGCGAAATATTAATTCCATTTATTTATAAATGGGTTTCAGAAACAACATATTGCACCACTTATACAATCTACATTACGTTCAACGACAACAAAATCCAAACGCCCTCGAAACTTAGTTTGTTATATCGTTCACAGTAACAGTTTAATTAATAACAATGTTTGTTGCTTAACGCCGTTCCCAGCGACATTTCAGCTGTATTATTCGGCGGGCGGTACACAATCGAGTCTGGACCAGACAATCCAGTGATTGATATTGTAAACAACGATCCACGCTGTCGGGGTACGATGCCACGCCCTCACCCACCGAGTAAACCGGAATCCCCACGTGGAATTAATAACAGATTGAGGTGTTGAGACAGTCTGTTCTACGCCGCTCGTAGTGATGATGCGTTCTATTGGGGGAAACGGATTTGCTTCACCCATCAGGTCACCTACAAGGATGATGACCTCGCTATTACAGACATATCGCTATAACGT